TTCCTCTCCGATGGACCAGAACGACCCGGACGCTGCTCAGTTGTTTCCTTGCCGTGTTTCCTGAACTGCACGATGATTCTGTTGACTGTTGAAAGCGGGATTCCCAAATTCTGCGAAATTTGCCGCCGACTTATTCAACCATTTGCTTGACCAACTATCCTTCCTCTAACAAAATCTGACAATTCGAGAGAACCTTGAGTTCTTGGCATGTTGTAGCACAAGATAATCAGTGTGCTGACCATTTTCATTTATATAGTGCTCTGTGAACAGAAATTAGTTAGAATAAATCAGTTAAATTACGAAAAATTAGGTGTCTATTTACTTGTAACCACTCAGTGTACTCATGAACAGCTCGTGCATTACATAATTTGCGATGGTAAAATGAGCTGCACATTCTCCGAGTATTTTACAATTTGTTTAGTAGGATTATTTTGCTAGACACAGTTGAAAGGGCAATAAAATAATAAAATAAAGTATAAACAGGTGTATATTGTTATGAGTTATAATATGGAAACTCTGAAGGTTACTTTGTGGATATCAACTTGTTCACACAGACCGAGCCCATAGTGAGTCAGTTCATTTGCTCTATCAGAGTACTACTTTGTCTTATTCCTGCCTTACTCTTACATAATATTTTAAGAAAAAAATATAGTTTCACTCCCCAGTTCCTTTGACCATAAATATTTATTGCATCATCTATTGAGCCTTTTACTTCTGCAAAGCTTACAGTCTACTATAAGGTAGTGGGATGGTTTCAGACCCTCCTGAAAAGTAGTGGGATGGCACCCTGCCCCACTTCAAGCACTGTTATCACTACAAAAAATTGTTTTTAAAAGAAATTCTCATATCATTTCTGTTGGTATAAAAAATTTATAAAATATCTTTAGCACCAAACTAATTGAAATACTGCTATGGGAAAAAAGACAAAATACAGTCAATTTTTAAGAAAACTCAATGAAAACTGACCTCCCCATATACTCTCCATGAAGAACATCACTACAAGAAACACATTTAAAACACCATATATGCCATGGTTTCTCCAAAGCAATTAAAGCCTGGCCCTCTGTTAATTCCTCTTTACATGCTGTGCATTCTGAAATACAAGAGCAACAATTATTAGAGTGACACACACCTTAAATAACATATTTGCCAAAGTTATTTTTATATTACAAACTGTCTGGAGTCATGAGATGAATTTTTGTCTCTATGCTCATTATTTGGTTTGCACTTGTTATATCAGATATAGTGTGTTTGATATTCTTATACACACATCACATTCACTCAGATCTTATTAATAATCAAATTGTATTACTGTACCAGCCACCTGATTATGGATCAGGGCAATTTACAGAGGGGATACCCCCCAAATTTCTTTCATCCCAACAAAAGAAAGGTGAAAGTGAGAGAAAGCAAGGACAGATTTTTTTTTCTATAGCATGCCACGTTCATATTATATGTGTATTTATTATATATTTATTTTATATTATACATACATATTTTTCAAGTATTATATTACTATACTGTATTTTGAAGAGTTTTTGAAATGGTGATTCCCCATCAAAAGTTGTTAAAAACTCAAAGTTCATTTTAGAGAAAGGGAAAAAATACCTCACATGTTAAATATAAACCAAACAGAGCATTAGGAGTGGCAAAGTGGTATTTTTGGTGGGGTATTTTTCTAGGCATACTCCTGAACACAAGTCTGGCAATTGTCCTGTCATGGATATGCAGCCATAAAAGTTTAAAACAGGTTTTAGTGTATTCTTAATATATGAGGAATGAAAGTAACATGATCTATCAAACCAATCAATATCTAATATTACAAAAAAAAGCCACTAGTGTGAGAATGACTTCCCACATCCATCAGTATATAACTCTGCAAAACCATAAAAGGTAAAGTATGCTCATTAAACAGTAAATATTTAATAATGCAAGAAACAGAGTAGAGTAAGTAACACAAACAAAACTAATAACAGTGGACCATTTGGTCCTTCAAGGCTATTCTTAAACTGCTGTAAAGTGCTGGCCTCTATGATTGATGATGGAACTTATCCCATAGTCAATCACTCTATTATAAAAATAAAACTGGCTCAGCTGGAACATAGCCAGTCTTTTCCCAAATCTTAACTTGTGTTTTCTCAGATATGTGTCTTCACAGTACAGAACAAAGACATCAGAGGCCATTATCCTATTGATCCACTGGATTATAAGTTTCAAAAAGATCCCCTCTTACCCATTTTTACTGAAGAGTATAAAAGTTAAGAGATCCTGACCAATCCCTATTAGAGAACTCTTACATTCCTGGAATCATCCTAGTAGACCTCCTTTGAACATTTTATAATATGTCAATATTTTTTCTTAGATATAAAGATCAAAACTGTACACAGGATTCCAAGTGGAGCTTAGCTAGGGATTTGTATAGAAAAATAACTACCATGTTTTACTTAGAATTTATCAATATATCTGAAAATAAATCTTATTTAGTATATTTTTTATAAGTAGGATGAGAGTAATCAGCTAAATCAGTCAATCTTTAATACTACATATAATACTAGAGTAAGAGTAACATGGACTGAATTTGTTATTGTTTCAAAGAAATAGTTAAACCTATGAGACTTTTTTTTTATTGTAGAATTGTATTTGCATAATATCCACGAGAAGATGTAATCAAATACAGTATTACTGTATTAAAACTTTGATATACATAACTCATTCATGTAGAAATAATTCCCCATCCAAAGCACATTAACATTCAAATCAAAGATTATACAAACAATTAATTATCCAATTTATGAAAGTACATTCAGGCAACTCCAAAGAGGCTTGGGCTACTCACTGAATACTTGATTAAGTAAATGACAGAAACCAGCAACAGAAAACTATTCAAAGTATCAGAGCTATTGGACTAGCAGCTGTTTGACTTTTATGTAACATCTGAATGAATGTATTTTGCCACACCCAACACACACAGCATGCGAATCACAATACCATTAATTTTAATTATCCTATCAAATAAAACACATAAACACCACACCCTAATCCAAAACATTATTTACAAGGTAGGACAGGTAAAGATTAGAGATCAATGACAATAACTACTTGTTTAGTTTTTGCAACACAACCAAATGATATGAAATACATATCCTATTCTCAGTACTATTCTTTTTCATTTATTAGCACATGATTTACTTAAATAAAAAACTTGAATCTAGGATTCTACAGGTAATTTGAAAAAAGACAAATAAAACAAAATAATAAAACAAAAAATATATTTTATTTTAACATGTTTCCAGGACACTCAAGATTTCCATAAAACATGACAGTATCTATAAGAAATGAAAATTATGCAATTCAACCATCTACAGCCACTCATGTACATAAGTGAATACAAACATTTGTACCGACATATATTTGTATGTTTTATGTAAACAGATAGAGAAATTATAGCATTTTGAGAATTAACATAGAATTTTACACTAACCACACATCTTTCTCTAATGTTCTGTTATAGTTATATTTGTAAAATAATACACAAGGCTAAAAAATGGCATTAACATTACATAAGTACTAAAGCTAAATGGCTAACATACTCTGACCAGCAAAAACAGATGTTGAGTCAATAGTTTCTGAGAGTACTATTGGTATTTGGATACACTTAGGGCATAGACATTCTTTCCCTGTGTAGGTGACTTTCTCTCCAGCTGTGAAGGCTTTCCTAAAAAGTGAACAAACAAAATATAAAAATTAGAGAACATATTTTCAAATAAAGATAATAGATCAGTCACCAATCACAGGAATAATTTTTCATTCACTTATCTGTAGTTATTCTTGTGAAAAAAGCCTGTTTAGTAATTAACTGAAAAATAACAGCAACATTTACAGTAGGCAAGTTTCGAATTTAATGATTATAAAGATTTGACACATAGTGTTGATTCATTATCAGGTAAAAAAGTTAAATACACTGGTTTTTTAATGTAACTCTTACCTGATAATGACCCAATACTATGGGTCAAAACAATGTATTCATTAAAATCAGAACTTACCTACTGTAAAAGTTGCTGGTATTGTATTTTTGATTTAATTATTCATTTCAATAGGTACCTCACTAAATATTAAACCCACTGAATGTTTTACAACATAACATTAGGAACCATATTTATAAAGTTGTTGGTATTTTTTACAACACAAATACAGTTACTGGCACTTTATTTTTACAGTATCAATACATTTTACTGGTACTTTATTTACACGTGATTTGAAACTTTAGTAGAATGCACTTTTTCATCATGAACCACGATGGTGGTTCATAATAGGGATCACACAAGAATTTGGTAAAAATTCTAATGGAATATTTGGGCCAAAACTACCTTAAAAAGCAGACTTATTCTTGAAAGAACACTCAAAACCTTCCTTTTTAATAGTTAAGACCACCCAAACATTGATAATAACCAAAATAAGTGATTTCAAAGTTGTTAGACAAAATCAAAATTTGCTCATTTGTTCATATTATTATTTCAAAGCCTACAGCAAAGGCAGCTGGATATTTTGCACCAAAACCTAGACAGATTTAGAACATGAAATGCTTCAAATGTCCACAACCTATTTAAAAGTTGGTTAATTTTCATTAAAGTTGATTTTCGTGGATATAAATACATAATAGACGTGACATTGTTCAGAGCAGCTGCTTTTGTACTTGACGCGTGTTAAATGTGTTTACATGAAACTTCAGGCACAAAGCCATCTGGCTCAGTAAATAATTACTTTAGAAGATATGAAGCTTTATTTAAAGTGATGTTTTAGATGTATTTGTTTTATTTGAAAAGGCGTTCTACTGGTAAAATTTTATACATGCTTAGTAGGGATTGTGTCTTACTCTAGACATATATTTGCCCACTGCTGTGCATTTAATAAGCCAACAAAGAAGATAACTAAAAACTGAGAATTTAAAATCTATAAATAGGGATTGCAAAAAAAAAAGTTAACAAACAAGGCTGAAGATCTACTGCTGACAGTTTTCTCAAGCTACAAATCCCTGTTATGACTCTACTATTATATTATTGCAAGTGATATCTACTATAATATGAGATCGCAAAGGAATTTTGCAAAAATTGAGAGAGTAGTTTTAAACTTGATTCAACCTCCTTAGTTTTGTTGTGCTGCAAAACTTAAATCCTTTATTTTCTGCCATCAAAAAATCCAGTGTTTTCCTAACATGCACATTAGTTGAAACTACAACTCATGCATTTTCTATTGCATTAACTGGAAACTGCCTTTTGAAATGTTCCCAATTTTGCTGTTGCATATCGTTACTCAAATTGCTATTGTTAACTTATTTGAGTTTGCTATCTTTATGTGGATTTCCACGACTATATTTCATCAAGTTTTTAACACTGGACAGTTAACACAGTAGATTTCCTTACTCCGACAATGGTGGTTATGCTTTCTACTGTTTGTTATACTTGGCTGAAATCATGAGTGCTTATTCAGTATTAATCACTACTGCATATAACATTACTTCATATAGCTATTGCTATTTTTAAATAATTGGTGTTAGGGGTAGCAGTCGTAAATGTTGTTGATAATTAGCAACTTACGCTAAGTGTGACACTGTTGTTTATTTTCCATGCATTTGTGTCACCTTATTGCAGCAAACACTTGTGCACAGCAGACTTTGAAGAACATACATATGTGTCGTGTAGACCTAACAAGGTAAGCAGGTTACTGCATCTGTTTATATTGCATTAAACTATGTTATTCCATTCTGATGAAATTGCTTTGTTACCACTCATGTTTTGTTACATTACACTGTGACATTGATGGAAGCTGGTCATTAAATCTGTGATGATACAATCTTTGCCTTCAAGAGAATCCTTTGAGAACAACTTTAAATTTTGTTTGTTGTAGTTGCATATCAATACACGTGTTTATTATTTACTATACATTTGTTATTCATCTTGAACAAGTTCAGTGTGGTGGTTGGGTGGAAGAAAAAAACCAAAGCAGTAGTAAACTGTTGAAAAACATGTAACATTCAATTGAACACATGTGCACATATGTAACTTTAAATATATTCTCCATAAATGGCCTAAAAAAAACTTAAGAAATGAGATTAGTAAAAACTTTTAATTTAAAAAGGGAGAATAGAGATTATCAAAAAAGTACAGAAACAGGTTGAATCAAAATGTAAATATTATATTTTCAAGCCTACAACTAGGGGCCTGAAAAAAAAGTAAACAAACAAGGCTGGAAATAGTGTCTACATCATTTTCTCAAGCTACAAGTCTACACTATTCCCCCTTTTCAAGTTAGCAATTTTTACTCATACTGTAGTTATTCAAAACTCCTGGATTTTTCTCCAGGCTAATACTTATTTTCATTACTATACAGTTAAATTCTCTACAGTAATAAAAAAGAAAGTGTAATGTATGTAGGGCTATTTGAATTTAAGATATTCCAAAGTTATGAGTCTCAGATAGGGTTTAACTACTTTTGTAATTATCATCTTGTTCTCATGAACTAAAGAAACACCATAATTACAAAGTTTATAAAACTTGAGATGTTCAGACTATTATTTTCCATAACAGAATAATTAAAAATTAAAATGCTATTAAATTTGTGTCATTGTTTTCATTACTCAAGAATACATCATTACCCCTCAAAATTCTAAATTTTATTGTAAGCTTTTGTCTAGATCCATCATATGTATTAGAAAAATAAAAGAATGGAGAAACCAGCTAAAGCTCCTAAAACTAACAAAATTTAATGGGGTAGTTACTAACAACTACATGGAAATCTCTCTTTAGACTGCACTAGCAGGAAAAATCATCTGTTTTTAAAAGGTGATCTTTAAGTATGGCAAATTTGTTTCAGAGCAAGGTATGAAGATATTTTTAGAGACACTTAAAAACCAAAATTATTTCTCAACTTACATATGGATATGACACTGTGTGTAAGAGTATCATAGTTCTCTGATCTCAAAGGGGCCAGGTGTGACCTAATGGTTAGCATGCTGGACTGTTCATGTCACAATGCTGCTAAACAGGCTTCACAGTTTCATCTGGAGAGGTGTTATAACAGTACTCGTCAATCCCATTATTTAGTTCAAACTGGGCAAAGCCTTTGCAATAGTAGGTGCTATCAACTGGTTGCCTTACTTCTGGCCAACAGTTTAAAATGTGGGACAGCTATGCTTGAACCATATAGATTTCTGCACAACCTATAAGTTTAGCCCTTATTTTTCATAAATGCTGTTCAGGTTAATATTAATACCAATACTGGCTCCCCCTTCTGCATTCCACTGGTGCTTTCATTCCTCCTATGCTGGATGAAGAATAATCATTTTTATTTGCTCCCACTTCCTTCAATTTATCAATACTTTTTATCCACTTTAGTTAATTGTAAAATAATCCTGTTTCATGTTCCTAACTCCTGCAATATGTACTGTTCTCCGATGTTAGATGTACAAGAATCTCATTCCTTTGACTCCACTTCCCATGCTTTATCAATACTTTACCATTAACACAAAGATTCATCATTCACAAAACCACTACATTTTGATTACTGTTGACCATAATTATTTAGGAAAATTTAGAAGGTTATTCATTTCTCATTTACTTCGCTTTAATTGATAATGAGTAATATCTCAATATGAAAATATACCACCAAATATTTCTTTTATGATTTATATAAACCCTTCTCAGCTGCTTCATGTTTTAAGAAAAGTTCATGTATAGACCCCTTCTGCTTGAACTGCAATGTCATGTGAATTTCTTACCTGCACCTGGCGCATAGGAAACATTTCTGATGATATGTATTTCCAAGTGCTGAGACCACTTCTCCTTCAACATAGTCTCCACATTCTGCACACTTGGTCCCAAACATCTCCTGGTAGTCAGCAGTACAGTAGTAATGGCCAGCCTTAAAGAAAAAGCCTCCTGATGCCAAAGATCTTGAACATACTATGAACAAATAACCATAAATATTAAAATATTACTTTTCAAATACTCTAAACAGTAAAATAGTGGATACATACAAAAAAAATAATGATAAGTATAAGTTGTGTCTTTATGTAAGTAACTTAATGTTAATTATTAGTTCATTACTGATGTTGAAATGCCAATTTTTTTATGCTATTAGCCAAATTAAAAACAAATGTTTACAACAAATAAAATCCAAAACTTCAAAAACACGTCTATCACAGAAATTCTCCAAAACGGGTTTACACTATATTAAAACTATTTGAATAAATAACTACTAAAATAGTTTTTTCATATAATAAGATGAAATTCAATAATATTGTTATCATACACTGTTGTAAAAAGACTTAACTTATGATGCTTTATAACAACGTTAGACATTGAAGTTAAGCAGCTCTACATGAATTATTAAGACATGTTCCAAATGACCATTGTTGGGGAGCTCTCTAAATATATAAATCAGCTCTGCATAAAATATTATGACTTTAAATGTTTCAAATGACATAAATAGCACAGTGTAGTAGAATGTTAACAGACAAAAATAAGATAAATTAAACTCAATTGTGATTGAATAGTTATAAATATATATATTGCTATATGTTAATTTTTGCCTGTGCTATTATGTAGGGATAATGAAAGTTTCATCCCTACTATCTTGTTTGCATTATTTTTTAAGGACTGATATTAGCTATCCCTACCTTTGCTTCTTTTTTTGAAACATTTTTCTTTACTTGTTTTTTTAATGCAATGGTTCAATATACAGAGGAAGATTGTATCTGTAACCAAGTTCTAAATACAATGAGCTTCCAACTGTAATATCTATTGTTTATCTATTACTGGCTGGTAATTCCTGTTTCACCCTGTACTTAAGCTTATTGAAGAAACACCGAATTTCTGTAAGAAAGTTAACTTCAAGGGGTAATGATAACATTGTTTACATTAGAATTATGATTTCTTCCCCCATATATTACTACTAGTTATTAATAATACTTATAAAAGTGGATATTCTGTTTTAAACTATGTCACCTCAATGAAATTGGTTGACAATATTGTTTTGGTTTTTGAGTTATCATGTAATAAAAAAAGAAGAACTAGAAATTCAAACTTTTTGCTATTATATTTATGGACATTCCCAGACAGAACATGTGACTCAGTCATTACATAGATATTGTTATAAAAGGTTACACTGTTTAGTACTGTAAAGTTCTGATGACCTAGTATTTACCTGAATTCTATTAAAAGTCAAATCAAGAAAATTATACCAGCATATAAACGTTCACAAACCCCTGAACTTTAATTTAATGTAAAGCAGTAGATGCCACTGAGTATCTCAATATCAAAGTTAAAAAGTAAATACTATGAAACTTAAATTAATGCTTGTTTATTTTATTTTTAAAATTTTGTGAAAATAAGAATTGTGTGCCTTGTTTGGTGAGGAATGATCGATAATCTGTAACAAAAATTAATTGTAGCTAGCCATGACAAAACCACTTGTTATGCAAGAATTATTCAACTAACAGTTTACTTACCAGCACAGGTAAAACATTCAACATGGAAATATTTATCCTGTACACGAAGGGCGTTACCACTGCATTTCTTTTTGCATGTCTCACACGTTATCCTTCCTTAAAAAGAAACAAATTTCATGATAAATTACTAGATAAATCAAAATTAGAAAATCGTAGCTAATTAGTTATAATCTATGACCCTGTACAAAAACTACTTGATCTAAACTTAAAGAAATAAACGTGTGTGGTTCAACCCAGGATTTAAAAACGAAAACAGGAATGTAATAAACAAAATAATAACAAAAAAACAGTCTGGCGATAAAATCAATATTCACACAAAATCTAAAAACAGTTTATCAATCATTAACTCTAAATTCACAATAACGTGAAATTGTTGGAGAAGTTATGTAAGATTTCTTATAACATCTTTTGAACTGATAGCTCGAGGTTGTTGAAGAAAGCTCTGAATGCAAACTGTGAACTTAAAGAAATCTATAAAACACCAGTTATGATACATCCACATTTACTACCTGTTAAAACCACTACATCTCAGTCTGCCGGAGATCACTTCTGGAAAATTGCCAAAACCTTCCATGACTAATACACTCAACATACATACTATTACTAATAAAATGTACGATGTTTTTCTTTCGTTGTTTGTTTTTAAACGTAAATCTACACTATGGGCTGCCTATAATCTGTCCATCTACTCTAATCTTGGGTATCAAAACCCCATTTTAGCGTTATAACTTAAATATAAGCCTTCAAACTTGCTGCTAAGCCATTGGAAAGCATATGATTTTATAACAAATACAAAAAATAATAACAATGGTCTTTACCAATAATTTATTTCTTTAAAAGAGTTGTGTAAGAAACGTTAATTCTATATATATTGTTTTTATTGTTTGTTTTTTATGTTAAGCACAAAGCTACACAATGGGCCATCTGTGCTCTGCCCACCACGGGTATCGAAACCCGGATTCTAGCGTTGTAAGTCCGCAGACATACCGCTGTGCTACTGGGGGGCTTTTATATATATAAATATATATAAAAGAGGAAGTTTATTTATTTCGATATAGGAAACCAAACGGTTGAACTTACAAATTTTAAAATAACTTCGTAATAACCAGTTTTTACAAGAAGTTTGATGGTGCTATTTATTTAACATTTGGTGTAGTATTTAATGACGAAATGGCCCGGCATGGCCAGGTGGTTAGGACGCTCGACTCGCAATCTGCGGGTCGCGGGTTCGCATCCCCATCCCACCAAACATGCTCGCCCTTTCAGCGGTGGGGGCGTTATAATGTGACGGTCAATCCCACTATTCGTTGGTAAAAGAGTAGCCCAAGAGTTGGCGGTGGGTGGTGATGACTAGCTGCCTTCCCTCTGGTCTTACACTGCTAAATTAGGGACGGCTAGCGCAGATAGCCCTCGTGTAGCTTTGCGCGAAATTCAAAACAAACAAACAATAATGACGAAATTGACAATCAATGATTATTACGCTATTTTTTTGTAATAAACATACAAAAGAAATTAAATGATGAGATGAAATTGTGTTATAACAGCGCATAGAAAGAACAACAATAAAATGGACCTACAATATTATTGACTATTTGCAAATAGTAACTATGGAGACGAGGTAATAAAATAAAAAGCAAGTCGAGAACAACAGCCGAGCATTGGCTATTATATTATTTCTCTGTCAATGTTCCCATCTTCATTGAAAGGCGTAAGATAACAAAAACAAGATCTTGAAGAATCTATCTATCTATCTATATATATATATATA